TTGTTCATTAATTCACTTTATTATTTTTTTATTACATTATTATTACAGATTTTTTTAAATAAACCTTTTTGGTTCAAATTTACATTGAGTTTGTTTTTTAAATTTATTGTTCTTAAGTTTAGTAACAAACATTTAAAACATTACACTTTTATGAAAGCTTAACAGTTTCGTATTTATTTTCACAAAAAGATTGTGCACTCTACACACACAGTGGTGGAAAAGGCACATAGTCGTGTTTTTGATCAACGAAATTAGAAAAAAAAAACAAATCGAGATTCTTATAAATTCGATATTGACAGATATTGGACGTGAATTATTTAGTGTTAAAAATAAAAAAAATAGTTACATAAAGAATTATTATTCACATACATAAATAAATATTATTAGGAAATGCTTGACCTACGTCTTTAAATTGACACAAAATTGTTTTTTTTTAAGATATTTTTATCGTTTGGTTTGGAAAATAGCAATTAAAATTTCAAGTCAAATACATAAATCGAATTTGAATTAGATTTATTATTTACATACATAAATCAATATTATTAGGAAATGCTGGACTTACGTCTTAAGTTGACACAAAATTGTTTTTTTTTTTTGATATTTTTATTGTTTAGTTTTGAAAATAGCAATTAAAATTTCCATTTAAATAAATCTAATTGGAGTAAAAACCTTACTTGCCTTAAAACTTTTTTTTAATAAAAAAAATGTAGCACAGAAAATTTGGTGTTCTTAAACATTCTGGATAGACTAAAAAATTTATAAAATTTTGAGATGATTTAAATAAAAGATCCTTTTTCTTAAAAATTCTGTGTTTGCTAAAACAAACGTTTTAAATAAATTTTTAGCTTTATCATAAATTTTATATATTTACAAAAAATGCTGCTTAAACACCTGGATTAATGAGAAAATGCCAAAAATTTACAAATTATTTCGAAAAATTTTTCTGCTCCAAAATTTTAAATTTGTTGAAAGATCAAAAAAAAGTTAAAAAAGTAAATAATACTTCTTTTCTACTACGTTGATTTGTTAGTTACGACAAAACAAACAAATTTTATACGTTATAAAAAAATAAATTTTTAGTAAAATATTTTTTTTAATAAAAATATAATTTGTGTATTCGAAAGCGTTAGGGCCGCTTTTTTCAAGTTAATACATATCATAATTCGAATTCAAAAAAATTTTGTTGGGGAAAAAATTTTGTTTGAAGGGAGCCGGCCTTATAATTTTTTTTTTTTTGTTAAAAAGAAATAGTACGAAACTTTTGTGTGATAGGCACTGAATATAATGTTGGACAACAGTTTTTTGTAGCACATTCTTATTTTACTGAGTAAGGCCTCACACACAGAGGGAGCTTACATATAGCTGAGCTGGTCAGCAAGCAGAAAGGACAATACAGCGCATGTGTTTAAGATAATCCGCGCAATTGAATACTTACACAACTCCAACAGCGCTTAATAGCACGCCGACCAGCTCATCTCTCAGCTCAGTTATAAGCTCTCCGTGTGCGCGAGGCTTAAGGATCGATTTCGCAGGCGATAATCAACTCACATTCGGAAGTTAACTGTTCATTTGCTGTATACAAATTTAAAGCTAACGAATGAGAGTTAACATCTCGGTTTAAAAAGGCCCTTTAAATAGTTTTTAAATAAACATTCCATTTAACCATTTTGGAAAAATGAAGTACTATGACAATATTTTGATTAGTTGCTTGTATGAAATAGTTATACTTTGCTGCTCAGCGGAGTTCTATCTAGAATTGCCTCGCTCTAGTAAACACACTCCATTAAGTTCAAATGTCCTTCCTATCCGCCGCTTAATCGTGCTTTATTTCCGGCTGCAGATCCATCCATGAATTCAGACCATTAGTGGATATCTCTGGATCATTTAGAGCAATTCTTAGCTACAAAAACAAACAAGAAAAAGGTCGTCACACACACATTACTTTTGTTTTTCAATTGCCCGCACACTTACCATGCCCATAATGGGACTACCGCCATAGATGAAGCCCTTTTGTGAGCACACAGTCACTTCCAGTGCGGTTTGTGCCAACTCAGCGGTGGAGATGAGATACTCAAATGTTGACTCATAAACGGGATTGCAACTGTCCTTGATCACCATAGTTTTACGCTTAGATTCTTTGCTACGCCCTGGCAGTAGATAGAGTTTAACATATGGATCTGGTATATTTGAGGGATCGCGTAGTGGCAGATACATAATTTTGTGCACAGTTACGGTAAGTTTTTGACGCTGCACGCTGTAGCGTATAGAAAGCAACATGCGACCGAGTCCATACTCGCCAGTAGAACTAGACAAATCGGGCATGCGATGGGTGAGCACAGCTTCGCCAGACTCGAGCGCCGCCGAATAGGGTGTGGCGGTGGGTGAGGGCTTCATTATCTCGACCTGTTCCTCGACAATGGGAGACTCAGCTGAAATGCGGCTGGTTGGTGACTGTAGTTCCTGGTGGGTGGAGTTGGAAAAGTAAAATATTAGAGTTACAAATAATTAGGAATTTTTTATTTATTTGGGAAACGCTGCAATGAGTTTTTTTGCACACCTTGCTGCTTGCATTCTCCAGCGTTGGCGTTTTCACCGAACTCGAACGCGTTAACGCTGCCGAAGACTCTGTGGAAGCAGATTTTTGTTCGCTCTCTTCTACCACCTCGCCAGGCTTGAGTATGCGCAGTGAGAGCGACATGATCAATTTCGATTCGGGACCAGATTTCTGTAACTGGAATGGCTGTGACATCAACTCCATATTCTTCTTGGGTAGCAGCAAGTTCACCGGGTAAGTATACTGTCCGATATCGTTACCGGTCTTCTGATCGACAACGCGTATTTGAAGTGACTCATTTTCTGGATTGCCTACAAGGAAGGTGAAGCCCTGCTCCCAAACAGGCGAATCATCGCGCATAATCATGGCAGTCTGTTCCTTGTGCTTGCCAACCATGGCGATTAGGTAGGGATCAGGTTTGGAGCTGGTGCGAGCTTGCTAAGGCGCGGAGAAAGATGAAGTAATGCAATATTTAGAAGGCATGCGGCAGCCATACTTTCCTTTTATATGAAAATTGTACCAACCTTTAAATTCTTGGCCGAATCGATGAAGACTGTGAGTAGGGCTGTGCTCATGGAAGTTACGCGCAGCAGTTGTGTCTCCAGCAGCGCCGCTTGTAGGTCATTGGGATCGGCAGTCAACTTATACCACTGCATGCGTACATGTAAGAGCCCATGTTTGGCATCTTCCAAGGTTAGCCACTGCGAATCGAATGGTAAAGAGATGTTGATTAATAAATGGCGAAAGGTGATTGAAAGTCACTACAGCCTATTACCGTATCCACAACGCCTCTCTTGATCACATTGAAAATTTCGATGGTGGCTCTGGAAGATAAAAGAGGTTTTAGATTCGAGGACAAGTTGTTTTGAAAAAAAATTAAAAGCATGATTTCATGATTTTTGGATGAACTGAAAAAATGTTTCGAAAATTGTTAGAAAACTAAAGGATAAAGATGCGAAAAATGATATTTGAAGGCTTTTGAACTAGCGGTAGTTAGTAAGCGCTCACTTAAATCAGCCAATAATCGAGAATACGCACTAAGATATCTGTTAAAAAGCTTTAAAATTTCTAAGCGCAATTAATTTTGTTTACTTAAGTTAGAATATATAAACGAATTAGCATTCTAGACTATAGCAAGATCCCAAGATATGTACATTAATGAACACAAGCTTGACGATGGCAGCGCTAAGGCTGCCGTTTTTCAATCTGGGTTTCAGAAAAGAGCACCAGATGCCACATGCTCGACCACAGCCTAGCTGGAAATTTTCGCAATTGGTCTCTGCACCTGTGAATGCCTTCGTAGAATAACTAATGGGGTCCTGTATAAACACCATGTCACACAGCTCTGTCCTGGCGTCTTGTAAAACGTCATCAATGCTGTTAGGTAGTTGTAAAACTCAATTAGACTAGGAATGCATACCAGAATCGGCGTAGCCAGAATGAAATTAAGCTGGCATTTCAGGGTACTATTTTATATATATAAGGAAAATTTGAAAGTTAGGGGGGGCTCGATCACCCCCTTGCCCCTACCTGGCTACGCCCATGCATACCAGGGCTACCCTTTGGTTCGGTACTGGTCATTAGCACGACAGCGGAAGGGCTATTAATCTTGCGAAGAAAAGCCTAAGAACTCGAATTAGTTTCCTTACACGACCATGTAGTAGTCTTACAGGGCAATACTGGCTAAGATGTAGAAAGTCTTTTGTTAGGCACTCCGCACATTAAGCTCCTAATCACAATAGTGTAATCGTTTCGGCATACTAAAGTATAAAGCTTTTATGCCGAACCCATGTATTTCAATGAAGCTCTGTAGATTACGATTCAAAATCATGTTTGCGCCTAATCATAAAAGCTTCATGAATCGAAGCGGTTAGGCAATTGAAAAGCAGCCGGCAAGATAGTTTGAAAGACTTTATTTATTCTGGCACGAAAGACTTACAAGAAAAGCTCCCTTACCAACTTTCATGGTGAAAGGCTCTTTTGACAGAAAACATTTGTATATCAATGGCCGAGTGAGCAAAGCACTATACAAATTTTTTTAATTTCATTTAGTCTTTGGAAACATATTTTATTTTTTTACTTTAATTATTTTTTCCTTTTCTTGGTTTAGTTTTAGATTTTATTATTTTAAAAATAAAAATACTTTTTTAATTGCATTTAAATTTTGGAAATATTTTTTTTAATTATTATTTTTTCTTTCAAAATATTTTTTTTTATTTCTATATTTTATTGATTAAAAAATAAAAATATTTTTTAATTTAAATTTTAGGAACTTATTTAACTTTTTCCCTTGTTTTAATTTATAATTTTTTTACCTTAAGTTTGTTTTATTTTCTTTAGATTTTAGAAACTTATTTTATTTTTTCTATTTTTTAATATTTTTTAAATTTAAATATCTTTACATTTTTAGATGTTATTGATTTGAAAAGAAAAATATATAATTTTTTTTTTTTAATTTCATTAAGTCTTTGGAGCTTTCCGAAAAATTGTACCTTCTCTTTGCCCTCTACGTACAAATACTAAGAAGAGGGTAATGAGAAGGTGGCATTTATTGTAGAAACGAAAACGCCATAAGTTAACTTTCCTGAAAACATTCAATAGAATGGGATCATGGAATCTAACGTGTCTCTTACAGGATTTAGATCCATGTTGCCAGAATATATTCCGAAAACCCTCAAATACATATACTACACATATTTCTAGTAACCAAAAATACTTGCATGAATACAGAATGGATACAAATTACAACGGCGCGTTACGCGCGGAATAGTAGAATGCAGCGAACAAATACATTTTTCGGTTTCGAAATCCGTAAGCCGAATTTTCGTTAGGCATTGAAATGACGAAAAATCGGTGCCATTCAAAAAATGCCATGTGGAAATGTATTTAATGACTATTTAAACTGTTCACCGATCGGATAATATTTACGGTGACCCCAAGAACCTCGATGTTTGGTAATTTTATACTTTTTTTTTAAGACTTTCTACAAGATTTTTAGTATCCAGTTTTGTAGCCCACCCTAATAAAATTCGTATACATATTTGCATACCAATTTTTAATTTTTTCATTATATTGAAGTACATATAGCCAATATTACATACATAAGCGCTCGAAATAAAATTGTCTTTCGAGAATTTTCACAAAAAAATGTGGAACGCTTCACGATTTTGCGTGTCATCCTTGCGCAGGGGCCATGCTAATCTTCTCTGTATCGTTCCAATTTTAGTATATGTTCTGCCGAAGCAAGAACGAATACAGATGAGTGCACTTAATATTTATATTAATTATTAGACGAAAAAGAAGTTAAGAATTGCAGCATCGGAAAAAGACGGAGTGGAAAATGCATCTACGAATGCTTACGCTGCTGCAAAGGATAATTTTGTATGTACATATGTCAAATAGGTATATGTACGGACACACTTACGTACATATGTATGTACAAGTAGATACATATGTATGCATACCTGAGAAAGAATAGACAGGCATTCAGTAAAATAAAACCTTCCCTCAGCAACTAAAAACAAACACCCAGTTGGTGTCCTTGACACTGGTTTCCAAGCATTAAAGGGCATGACTGCATAAACATTCTTACATACCCTTGCACTTATCACTTTACAAATACGTAATACGCATAGCATAACCAATAGCTACCTGGACGTGGTGGCAAAGCAACCAAAGCAACAGCGCAAACAAACAATAATTATCCTGCCCTTTAACGCCCACGGACTTAACAGACGTCTACACAAGTACTGAGTTAAGATATTTAGGCAGTGTATTTACTAAACACCAAACAAGTGATAAGCCTCCCAGTGAAGTAGCTTGTAAATCATTGTGTCAACAACATTTCACTTTTGCTACACTTTGCTCATCTTCATCCATATAACTAGTACTTGTAAACATCGTAATGATTTCACGCCGCGATAAGCTTTTGAATTTGCCTTGGACTCAACAACGTTACGAACATCATCGTGCCAATCTACGTTCCGCCAAACCGGCCATTGATATGCGCACTCCGCCCATTTACTCGCATGTGATTCTCAAACCCAAGAAAGTGCAGATAGAGAAGGAACGTTTGCAACGCATTGAAGTGGAGAATGTGCGGCTGTTACAGAAATTGGGCGACATTATGCAAACTAAGCGTATGTCGGATTTGTGGCTGGCGCCGAGACCAGAGTAAGTACATACCTACTAAGTATAGCATTAATTTCAAGAGTGCTTAGTCCAAATTCATTTTCACTAAACTAATTACTTTCTGGAATGTTCCGTAGTTTCTTACATCGTGAAAAATTATTTGAAACACGCCCCTACTCTAGTCTACCCAAGTTGATAACCATCTATGGTCCGAAATCTTCAGTGGAGCAAGCATTTAGTGCACCAATTGCTTTAAAATCGCCTAACTCAAGAATGGTGCAACGTTGTCCTACTTGTAGTGGTCGACCGGAACGCACTCAAGTGGTGAGTAAAAAATTAATCAGTCAAAATGTTATGTTATATTTAATACCTACTTATCCTTGGGACTAATATATGTATGATGGATCATTTAGAAGACTTTTCACACGTACATATAGAACAGAGTAAATCCCTAGTAGCTTTTTCCAAATGTATAGGTACAAAAGTTAAAAGTTAGCGAACGGAATATATATATATATATATATATATATATATATATATATATGTTTTCATCTGCGCCTAACCTTACGACACTTCACACACTTCGCCTGGAATTTGTCAACATTCAACTCAGTACGAGACCTACTTTCTCAAAATTGTTCACTCATCTTTCATCTACTTTGTAAGAAATGTGCTATCTCGCCATAACTTTGGAATCTAAGCGTAAACGATTTGTTTTTAACCAGGTCAGGTTATGGTAGTTGCTATTCACCATTTGGTAGAACCATCGCGCTCTCCCACGAAGCTTCGAAGATCACGTATGTCCAGAGAAACTAAGTCGGCTAGACATTGATGGAACTATGTCCTCCCACAAGGAGAAATTATACTGGAACGGAAGCCGGCTTAGTTAGAAATTAGTTCCAAAAGACATCCTACTAAATACTACCCTGTTCAGAGTGCAAACAACCAAAAATAAACTGAAATAATGGTTTGTTCAAGATCCGAGACCCGGTTAAGGCAGTATTCGACAGAGATAGTATTCGACACTTTCCAGCCTTTCCCCTTTGCTGTCACTGCAGGTCCTGATTTTGTGTCCGCGCCACCTTTCTCCAATCATCCAGTCTGCCGTTTTCAATATTGCAAAGACTTCCGATTGAAAGACGGTTGCCATTGCACCCAAAGCAGTAAAGCATCTGAAGTTACCATCCAGTTCCAGTACCATTTTCAGTCTTTGAGCCGTCGGTTGTTTTCAATCTAGAAGAGGGGAACTGCTTTCTCTTAGAAATATTGGAATATTCGAGTAATCAAATCTACGGTTCCTTCAGATGTCGACTGTGTTCAGTCCGGCTGCGTAGCAGCAACGAGTACATTTGCTGTTTCTAAACAGCTAGCGTTTGGAGAGCGTTCAGCATCAATAAGATCAAGAAAATACGAAGTAGGATTCTTTAAACCACCTAGTGATTCTGAAAACCCGATCAGAATATAATACACCGTCCTAGGAAAGAAAGACATTACGGCTTTATGTAGGTAAAATGTGAAGAATCGACACTGGCTACACAGTTTTGGCACAGCCCAATCTGTTTTACGGAGTCACCGTTTGCGTGGCCAGCGTTCAGGAAGATCTAAGACAAACGGCTTTAACGTTCGGGATCTAATAAAATATAAGATATACATATATTTGTTGCCCACATTTTTTCTAAGTTTTTGGTCGAGCTTCTCCTCCAATTTGTTTCGCGTGCGTCCTATTGTTATAACTCAAGCGCAGAGATTTCTTTGTAGGGAATGAGTCTAAATGGTCCATTTCATAGGCAATCATACAGACCTAAAATTTCTTTATATTATATGGGCACAGGGTAAAGGACCTCCCTGCTCCTCACTGATCTAACAAGTTTATTGTAAACCAAACTTTAAAATAAAATAAAACAAAATGTGTGACTTTTAAATGTCTTCTTCTCTTTGTAGGCCATTCCCGAGAAGCGAATACCTTGGGCGCCGCCTCGTGTTTCACGAAACGTACAAACCAAAGTAGCTTGTGAAATGAAAAGATGCGTATACTGTGGACACCCCAAGAAAGTTGATGAAGGAAAGGCGAACTCAACAGAGAAAAATGACTAAATAAAATAAACTAAAGAGAAATAGAGTTGCGAAGTAAATAAAAGTTTAAAGTAGAATTTACAGCAGAAAATTGGAAAAATGGAATGCAATGTTTTTGGGCTACGGAGTTCCAAAGAATCTCTGATTTTTTTAAGTATTTATATGTTTAAAATTTTGTTTCTTTTTCACATTTGAAACAAAAATTTATGTCTGTAACTCATAAACCAAACAATATTCAAAAAAAAAAAGATAAACTAAACATACAACTCGTGAAATGAAGTCCTTAAAGAGCTTTTAAATTAATGAACGAAATGTCAGAACGAAAACTCAAAATTTGCCAACCTGCCAAGTGATTCATCGTCGCCAGTGCGATCCCAATCATAGAGTCTAAAAACCAACAAAGTATGTTGCGTCACCTCAACCACAGCCTGTTAATGTTTGTAGTGGAGTGGTCGTGGCATATCCACAACATACCAGCAAGGTGTATTAGTTGCGTTAAATTCACGCAGTTGTGAGTGCGTTGCGTAGTATAAGAGTGGGAGAGAGAGAGAAAAGAAATGGCGGACACAACAAAAAAAAAACAAATAACAACTTTTTACGAATTCCGTCTTTCGCACTTAAAATAATTTTTACGCATAATTTTCTACTGTTAGTATAATTATATATTCGCATGTTAGAATTTAGGTACTTTTTTACTACATTTAATAACAGAATTTGTAACAACTTTTGCTACTTGTGCACTTACATAATTAAATGAGACTACAACAAATAGTTGCAATAAACTTTAGCAGCCAAAATGTACCGGAAATTAAAACGTGCTTGTTTTTATTTAATGTACTTGCATGTCATAGGGTAAGTTAGTAACTTTTGTTCGTGCCTATATAGTATTCAAATTCATGCAATTTTGTGGTGTGTCAAAGAAACAGAGAGATAGAGAGAGGGAATGGGTCGGAGGGGGATTGTCATGCTAAATGTGTCACTTTACATGGACTATATGTTTAGATTATGGATAAGTATGTAGAACCGAGTAAAAAAAGTATCGAAATTATGGCGTTAAGCTTACACCTAATCATTAGGTTAATCTACAAACTATCTAAACGTTCTCAACTACATTAATTATTTGAGTATTCCTGTAATGTCGCTTAGTGTTCGTAACAAGGCGTAATAACATATTACAGAACAACGATACATTAAGTGGGGTATCAGTTCATCCACTGCAGCGGTACGTTCTTTTTATTAAAAGTGGAACGCTATGAATGCCTGGCTAGGGTAGGTAAGGTGGCAGCCCCGTGTAACCGGAGCTCGCTTAGACAATGTAAGCTTGTCCTTTGTGATACCCAGACCTCCTCGGGGCGACTTAGAAAGTGAGAGCAAAAATACTTCAACCTTAGCCTCGAAAACGCTGGGCACCTAAGAAGGTAGTGTTGAAGTGATTCTACTTCGTCCTCATCCAGGCAATTGCGACATAAGAGGTCCGGTAGAATGTTCAGCCTTACTGCGTGAATACCGATAGGACAGTGACCCATTAAAACCCTCACCAGAAGTGAGAGCTGTGGCTTAGTGAGGAGTGCCCTCGACCGCCCCGGTCCACCCTCGGCCAAAATGACCTTGCGATCGCGCATGTCGCGGTATTCGCCTAGCGCTCGCTGAGCTGACACGAGGCCCATCTATCCAGGAGTGTACCGCAAGTGATCAATGGCACCACCAGCTGCTCTTTATCCGGTGATAACGTTTCACAGGTTCCTTTCCTGGCCAGGTCGTCAGCCATGCAGTTCCCCCCAATGTTGCTGTGTTCCGGAACCCAAATAAGCCTAATGCCGAAGTATTCCGACGCGGCCGAAAGAGATGGCAGACATTCCTTAACCAAGTTAGAGCGCACCTCTAACGAACTCAATGCCCTCATAGCCGCTTGGCTATCAGAATGTACGCTCACTTCCCTGACTGTTGTAATGCTTTTTAGCAGTGAATCCACCGCCTCCTTGCTGAGATAGGTAAATAAGGCTGAATCTGCCATCTCTAGGGGACTGCTCATAAACCATTTGCAATCAATAATAGTCATGTAAATACTTAGGACCGGTTCAGTGGCGGATCCAGCGTGAGGCTTGAGGGTTAAACTACGTGTCAGTTAGTGGCGGACCCACGGGGGGTGTTTTAATATGGTGCATATGTATGTATAATATGGCGTCTATGTATTAAAACACCTTCCGTGGGTCCGCCCCTGACTGACACGTAGTTTAACCCCCAAAAGCCCCCTGCTGGATCCGCCACTGGACCGGTTACTAAATGTCTGATTAACACTAAAAGCGGCTAAACATCGTTATCGACGGGATCGAACCCATAACATATAACCGGGGGTCGA